TAAGTGCGTGGGTGAATCCTAGTCTTTGAACTAGATACGGCATCCGATACATCAATGGTTGATAGACACTATGTATAAGTGGGTAGAAGTGTGAGTGGGTTAAGATGGGAAAAATACTTATGGGTATGGGTAATTGTAGTTACCCGCCCATTTAAAATTCACGGTTATGGTTATGGGTAACCGTTTAAACAAATAAACGGTTAAGGGTATAACCATTTACCTGTGAAATTTAAATAGGTGGTTATGGGTATCACCTGCGGTTATAAACGGATACCCGTTTAACCGCTTATTGGTTCAAATGAACATTTTACCCTTGCCTTCACTCCTTATATCTCATTCGTTATAATTTCAATTTACGAATGGTTTTCGCCTACGCATTGGTGGGATCGAGCTCAATCCAAATATACTTAGTGTGATCCCGAAATATTACATGATTTGATAAAACTTAGAGGATCAAGTAGAAAACGAAATCCGATCATGGATATGCTGTTGAGAGTTACTTCCAACGGAGTCAAATGATTTGTTCAGAACTTTACTTGAATAAGGGCATTAAACATGGTTATTATAATCCAGACTACACGCCAGGCCAATAGCATTTGATTTCTTACTAATTCACTTTTCTTAAGTAACTTGTAGCATACCCTACAAACTCACGACATTCCCATCTTATTCCAATAAGTTGTGAGGTATAATGTGCAAATTGTAGGGCACATATAAAGTTCCCTTCAACTAACCTTCACAGGAAAGGGCAAATAAGTTTCGTAAGCTTAAGGGGAATGTTTCAGAAAAAAGAAAAAAAAGAAAGAAAGTAACTTGCAGCAATTAATAAGATCTTGAATTGCTTGGACCAAGCGTAAAGGTGGATGTAGTTGCAAATATTGTTCGCTCTATAATTTCAATTATTGCAGTGGTATGAGAACTTAAGAGATTGAAACACGGTAATGCATATTAAATGTACTTACAAATGAGTAAAAAAACATGTAAATAGGTAAAATAGGAGTAAATGGATAAAAATGGTAAACGGGTTAAAAACGGGTAAATAGGTTACCGGTTAAATAAGTATGGGGTTATGAGTATGAGTAACCGTTTATAAACAGTTATGGATATGTATATAACAATTTATATAATTATCGAACAGATAAACAGTTATGCAGTAAAGGCTTAAACGGTTATAGATAAATAACCGATGTTAGTTACCGTTGTCGAAACTGTTGTCCATTCCTAGTTAAGAGCGACGAGAACATCCCTATGGTGGTGGTTGTCGATTGATTATGCTGCTGAGATAACACAACAATTGATGATAGTGAATGTACAATTGAGTTCTACGCATTGATTATGCTGCTGAGATAAGACAACAATTGATGATTGTGAATGCACAATTAAGTTCTACCCATTATATATATTCAACGGTTGTGATAGCTCATGCATGCAAACAACCCCCAGCACAGCTGCATGGGCAAGCATTGTGGAAAAGTCGTATTTAACCTAATAATTTTGGACCACCGTTGACTCACATGACGTATAAGACTTTGTAGTACTACTAGAGGTGTTTGTTTGCCCTCACTAAGTGGGACTGGGCTGGACTGGATTAGTTGTTAGTCCAATACTGTGTTTGTTGCATGCTGGGACTAACATTAATGAGACTAAAGGGGACTAGTATAGACAAAACCCTTCACTAAGAGGTCTTAGCGAGACCTCCCAATAACCATGGGACTAGCTAAGACTATCTTCTCTCGTCCTCGTCATGCTCAACAACCACTTCCGATAGACTATTCGTCATTTCCAATCACTTAGATCATAATAAAATATTAATAATTTATATATTAAATAATATAATATTATAATTTGTTATTATCCAGCTTCTTAGTTCAACACTGCACCAAACGCTTTACTAAGTTAGTCTAACTTAGTCTAGTTTAAGCCAGTCCAACTTAATCCTTAAAATTAGTCCAGTTCAAGATAGTTCGGCACAACAAACGCTACTAGTAACCAGTAAGGGCCTCGCACCACACCCGACGTAAATGTGTGCATGTACAACCAAATAAGAAATGACGAAAGAATAAGTACACGGGAGGTTGAAAAATATCTTCGTCATTCCAAATGACAAATTTACCCTTGACAGAGCAAGTTGGCCGCACTCTCTGACAAACAAGGTTCTTCCATGGTTCCATGGGATAAACAAATCTTGCAGGGGAGCTGAACAATCAGTAAGCCCCGCCTATGACGTCATGACCAGGCCTTCAACGGCACATCTCTACCCTTGAACCCGATCGTGGGCCCGTGGGCTCCACCCAGGATGCAATACTGGGCCCAGCCAGAGCAAAGGCTAGCCGCTAAATAGGTTCAGTGAAAAAATCATGTCATACTTTGGGGAAATACCCCTCCCCCCCCCGGGCCCCCCCTCAATTAGTGGAAAAATCATGCAATACTGCGGCTAAACACACCCGGCCCCCCGGCCCCGCCCCCCGTCCCAAAGTTGGGCTGGCCGCTAAATAGGTTCAGTGGAAAAATCATGCCATACTTGGCTAAACACAACCCCCCAATTAGTGGAAAAATCATGCAATATTTTGGCTAAACACAACCCCCGGCCCCTCCCCCGCCCCCAAAGCTGGGCTGGCCGCTAAATAGGTTTAGTGGAAAAATCATGCCATACTTTGGCTAAACACAACACCCCCCCCCACTAGTGAAAAAATCATGCAATACTTTGGCTAAACACATCCCCGGCCCCTCCCCCACCCCTATAAAAAATGGAACTTTAACGAAAAGCACCCAGTACTGTTCACTTTAACGAAAAACCACATTTTTACACTAAAAAGTCAATCCTTATACTATTCACTTTACCCTTTATTTTGTCCTTATCATTAAAACTCAAAGTTTTCAAGCCATTTTCATTAGTTTTCCTTATAAAAAAAAGTATATAATTTTAGGCAAAACGATAAGGGTTAGAACATTCTGGATTAAATCCCAACAAAAAGAAATCTAAAACAAAAAATAAGGTCAACTTGACAAATTTAATTGCCACCATATCGTTGAATCTTTGGGTTTGGTGAGCACGAAAATACATCCAACACTAAAAGAACTTCAATTAAAATATGATTTGTATTAGGGTTCGTTTAAAGTTGTCATTTTTCATGATCACAATGTGATTAGCCTATTATTTGGTGCTACCCTTTTTTTTTTTTTGGAATTTTAACGAAAAATTACATTTTTACACTAAAATGTCAATCCTGGTACTATTTACTTTACCCTTTATTTTGTCCTTATCGTTAAAACTCAAAGTTTTCAAACTTTTTTCATTAGTTTTCCTTTTTTTTGGTAGACATAGCCACATGAAGTTGTTTTGAACAAATTGTTAGATGAACCAACTTTTGATCTAAAAAGCAAATTATTAGGGTTTATTGATTGACTTCTCATTCTATTTTCTCAAGTTTTTAATCAATACAGGAGAGGTGATTCAACTACAGAATATCTTATAATCAAGGATGTTAGAATCATCAAATTATTCACTAAATAACGTGTTAGTGTACATGTGAGTATCTTCTTTGTTAGTAATTAATAAGATTTAAAGTATAAAGTTTAAATCAATTGGACATTGGCACATTATCTAATGAACAAGTTTGACGTACTTATGCTTTTTGTGAAAATATTTTGGGAATCAATATTTAATAAAAATGCAAGTGAATTATGAAAAAGCACTTAAGAGCTTCTTACAAGAAGCACATAATTGGTGCTTCTTGCAGGAAACACTTTAAGTGCTTTTGTTTCATAAACAATTTTTTTGAAAACATTTTCAGTTATTTAAAAACATTTTCAAACAAATCCTAATTATATGCAACTGCATTTAAGACTTTTAGTAGCACACAATAGTTTTTGTGATTGTCATGAACAAGTTGAATAAATTAAAAAGAAATGCATCGTCGAAACTCTCACATTCACATCCTATTTTTTTGTAAGCAGATTGATGATGTGCAAGAATAAATTGTTAGGTTTTGTTGACCTTTATTTCTCATTTGGTTATCCATCATCTCAAATGAAACTACTATTGGTGGTTGCGTTTGCGAGGAACAAAAGTATGCAACTTTCCTAATTTATGTATCTACTGATTTTAGCAATCTTATATCCAAAATTAAGCTTGAAAAAATGTAGCAATTGCAGGTGCATACCAAATGGACTTTTCCTTTTTCCTTATTTATGCTTACTTTGAATGGGTATGTAGCAATAGCCATTGTTATTGTTATTGTAGAGTATTAAGCGCAACTTTGCTTACTCTCAAATTGTCGTTAAATTAGTCTGATTTAAATGATTTAAAACATGAATCTTGAAATTTAAACTTATTTAACAGCAATTTATAAAGGGGTGAGCATCACCCTAACTTTAGGAGGTGAGTAAAAAGAGTATTGTCGATCATGTGATGAATATTTTCCATTTTAAGTTATAGTATTAATATATATGTACTCATATCGTAACATGTGAACTAATTATAATATGACTATATTTCAGTACTAGATGAACGAAATAAATAAGGAAAAAAGTTGATCAAGTGCAAGATAAGTTCTAAGGTTTTTCTTGACTTCATCCCCTCATTGGTTGTCCTAACTCCTAACGTTTTACTATAAAAACAAATATGCAAGTTTCCTAATTCTTGTACCTACTGATTTTAGTAGTATTTTCCAAAATTAACCTTGACAAAATATAACAAATTGAGGTGCATTAGCATATGGAGAGGATCAAATCACACTTTTTTAGGGTTTGCATGAGCGATTCTTGCGCTGAGGATCTGACCAAACAAATCAAAATTCCAAAAGCCTAAAATCCCTAAACTGCCCAAAAAGCAGAAGCACTTTTAGGCTTTTGCTTTTAACCAAACCATACTAACAAACGCGTCCTTACACTCCCTCGCCCCATCTCACATCACTCCACTAGACACGGATACAATCAACGGCTGAGATCTCATCCGCACCCCGCCCTTTCCTCCTCTATATATTATCTCCCCATTACTGTCTTCTTCCTCAACCCTCACCTCTCACCTGCAAAATTCTCGAATTCCTTCACAAACGCAGTTTCTCTCCCCCTCAATGTTTTTAATCTCTCGGTTCGAATTCTCAAATTTTAAAGTCTTTTTGGAGTCTGAGGTTTGGGTTTTTCTGAGACTCAGATTTTAACAAGAAAATATGCTTCTACGGAGCTCATCGACGCCGGTGCCCAACTCATGGCTGCAGTATTCCAAAGATTCAACATTTTTCGATCAGCAACCGGAAATGGTGCAGCAAATCCAGAGAACTCGCTCCGTTACCCTCACGGCGTCGTCGCTGTCGCCCTTTTTGCTGTCGCCGATCAGCGACTCGGGGAGGAGGTTGACCCGGGCGGTCTCCGAGGACGATCTCAGAGATTTCATGGTGGCGCCGCTGAAAAGAAAGGCCTTCAGCATCCCGATGGATGGGTTTGTGGAGAGAGAGGAGGAAGACGAGATAAAAATGGAGATGGGTTTTGCTGCCTCTGGGTTGGGCAGAACGGCCTCCTTGGGATTGGTGGAGTTGGAGGGGTGTGAGGCCGGGTTGAGGGAGGACAGGAGGTTGCTGAGCGATTTGGAAGGGGGCGGCGTTGGTGGAGGAGGCGGCAAGATCTGCGGTGGTAATGGCGGAGGGAGTGGTGAATCGGACGACGGAGATGAGGGCAATGGATTTGGGGAATCGAATCAAGGCGGTGCGAGCACCGATTTGTACTACCAGAAAATGATCGACGCTAATCCTGGAAATCCCATGCTCCTTAGCAATTATGCTCGCTTTTTGAAAGAGGTATCCCAATTCATACCAAAATCTTTAAATTTAAATACAACAGATTGAATCTTTATTGAAGCTAATGATATTTTGTGATGGGAAACATTTTACAGGTTCAAGGGGATTTCGGAAAAGCCGAAGAGTACTGCGGGAGAGCAATTCTGGCGTGCGCGAATGACGGTACTGTTCTGTCAATGTTTGCGGATTTGGTATGGCAGATTCACAAGGATGCTCCAAGAGCTCAGTCTTACTTTGATCAAGCTGTTCAAGCTGCCCCTGATGATAGGTAATTCGCCGTAGATATTGTATCTAAATGTGTCGATAACATGTTGGTACGTTTTGCGGATCAATTGTTCTGACTGTGTTTTGTGGATTTGATGGTGCAGTTATGTTCTAGCATCATATGCCAAATTTCTCTGGGATTCCGAGGAGGAAGACGAAGAGGAGGACGAGGAGGTGAATCTCAAAGAAGGGGGGAATAACAGAGCGTCGCCAACCAATTTGTTTACTGGAATTCCTCCTTCACCACCTCCGTTAGCTGCTGCTGCATAGTTATATATAGAGAGATATATGTATCTATATGTTCAGAGGCTGACCTTTCTGTTTATATTTTTAAATTTTAGAAACCTTTTTTAGTGATCCTTTGGCTGCAGCTGGGGGTGAGAAATTGGGTTGTGTTAACTGACGGCTCTGTTTTTGTTTTCAAGATCTTTTTCTAGTCATATCTTTGTAAAAGAAATGTAACAAAAATAAGTGATGAAATGGAGTTTTTGAAGGCATAACTCCGTCTCTCTCTCTCTCTCTGCAACACTGCATCATTCCTTAATCTGGATTTTCGATTTGATTCGGAACCCTCTTAAGCTTGAAGGAGACGCTTCGAATTGTAAACATTAGAGATTGAGTGTTGAGAACACTGTCTAATTTGTTAATAATAACACAAATCAAGTTCTTAATCCAACCCTAAAAATGGAAAATGCCTACCATCCTTCCGTCATTTTCGAAGGATATAAAATCCACAGTTATGGCCATGTCTCCCTGCCCCCAAAACGGAACAGAAGTATTTCCTCTCGAACAAGAGCCATGTCTGGACCTCTGTCTCCTAAACCCTTACACGGGTCGTTGAAGAAGGGGAAGAAGGTGAAGAAGAAGCCGCAAAGTCATGCCTGCAGAAATTGTGCTAGTGCACGACTCAGAGGAGTTGCAGGCTGCTGAGGCAATCCACCAGGCGCCCATACCGGTGGAGCTTCTTCCTTCCAAGCACAATATATTTTGAATTTGAGGAACTCCATGAAGTCCTGGAGTAGGATCCACACGAACACCATGGAGTGGAGAAAGATGGAAGGCCTGTGTGTATATTTTTGAGAGACTAGGGAAAGTAGATCCCACAAAGCTGATGCAAGTGACAACCGTGGACAGATATATAAAATACCGTGTCCAGGAATTCGAAAGAACATTTGATGATGGAGGACAAAAATTAGATTATTTCACATGCACTAAAATTAAAAGAAGGAAGCGGCGAGTGATCGAGAAAAGTGAATGGAGAACTGGTAATTCGCGTGTTAATAGATTATTTGCTGTTGTCATATTCCGAAAGTGGATGTTTTGGATTTTTTGTATTGTTCGGATTGATGCAACTTTGGTTTGGTATCTCGGTGACGAACCAAAGTTGTAATCCTTGTACGCTTGTGCTGCCAAACCAAATTTGCGTCAATCCGGACAATACTTGTGAGTTGCCGGAGTTTTTAGGAGGGACTTGTACTTGTGCTGATCAGGGAGGTTGTATGGCTTCGGATAAGGGACTGTGGAAGGATCTGGAGATATTGAAGACGGTTATGAAAGGGTGATGAGGAAACTTGGAACTTAAGTCCGAAGAGAAGGGATGTGATAACGCTCCAATGGACCATATCAAGCACAACCACCCTCATCCGACCATATCCATTATCATGGCTAAGTCTAACGCAGCAGATGGTTTTGCTGAGCATGATGCCTGCAAAACTTCAGCTCCTGGGTTTTGAGTGTGCTATGACATTGGTTATGTACGGGGATTGGTAACATGCCAAGAAGCTCACTGATTTCACCTTCTACTCCAGTGCCGTCTACTGATGACACAGCGCGCAAAAGCCAGGCGCCTTTACAGCCTGCGTTAGGCTTTTAGCAGATCTTGTCAAGAAGAAGAAGAAGCAGAAGGGATGAAACAGTATAAATTTTGCCCCTTTTTCCGTTTACCACATGTATATAACAGTACAAATTTAACTTCATTGATAGAACTAATTAAATTTGTATTAAAATTTCTTGTATTTTACTTAACAGATATAGTTTTGTTCGAGTTGAATTATCAAACTTTTGAGTTGAATTCATTTGAGTGAAGTAAATAAATCTTGGAAAGTGGCAGAGGCAAGTTTTCGATTCATTTGAGCAGAACTACTGAACTAAACACCAGGGCTAAGTCAAAGGACTACGAAAACACTTAATACAAAGTCACAAGTTACATATGTATTGACAGGGTTCTTAGCATTTCTAACAATGGAACCTCATAAAATCCAGAACCACCCGAGAACCGAACCGCTAACCAAGCCAACTCCAAGGAACACCACCATTACAATTGCAGACAGCTCTGCTTCCGAAACCGGCACAGTTTTCGGAACAATCATCATGAGAACGCTTGTCAGATAACCATTTGTCAGTCCAAGCATAAATGTAAGAGCCACCATTGGAGTTTCAGCTTTCAGCCATGGAGGTCCATGGAGGCAAGCAGTGAAGATTGGATAGAATAGGAGCCTTGTAATGCAAGCCAATGTTGCCCTTTTAATACTTTTTAGAAGATAAACTGCAGTCAAAGATTTTCCCACTAAATCTGCAACATTGTACACTGTGATCAGCAAAATAGGATACCAATCTTGAAGAAGCTTGGATTCGAGACTTTCGGCGATAAATCCAGGGAAAATCGACAGAGTCACTGTATACGTTACGAAAATCCCAAAAGCTGGCATGGGGACTTTACATGCCACGTCCCAAAATTTTGGTCTTGCGCAAAAGGGTTCGTCTTGAGCAAGCCTGCAGTGTTCCTGTATGACTGTCAGCCTGTATAACAAGTTGCAGGCAAAGATGCAGCACAGGAGGAATATGGTGCTGACGATGAAGTACGAATTCGCGCTTGTTTGTAGTCCTTTCGGGGTTTGTGGAAGCATTGCTTTGGTTGAAATCCTCAGCAGAGAAATTATCACACCTGCCAAATGTACAATTACAAGTGAGGTTTTCTCAAGGCATCCTGTTTTTATACGTTATGCATTTAAGAAAGACACGATGTTCTGCACGGATCAGAACAACGTTGGATTGGAAAAAACTAAAGCATGAAGGTGTAACTTTGTGTACATAGCTTATAGTTACCTGAAGAAGCAGTTCCTGCAAAAACAGCTTGCATGTATTTTTTCGGAAGTTTGCCGGCGGATCCCATCAAGCTTCCTCCTACCAAGCCATCGGCTAGGCCACAAACTACAACTGATGTAACTATCACACCATAATCTGCATTAGCTCTCCCGCTACTCAGCGCAGAGCTGCGCGAAAGCCAGCCCGTAATTGGGGCTACCATTAACGATAGAATAAACAGAGAAAATCCCAAGTTGAGTTTCAGCCGAGGACTCATCTTCTCCCACCAGTTACTCCAGCTCATCATCACGAGCAATACGAGCAACGAAGAGCTCATATAGGCCACAGAGAAGACCTTCTCAACATGCTTGGTCGGATAGAGACCTCCAAAGTAATCAACGGCGGTTATGAATGCATTCCAAGGTAGCAAACTGCCTGCTCCCAGCAAGAAATGAATAACGTAAGCAATCTTGTAAGCATCTCTTGGCTCAGCTTGATATTCAACACTAACCTTCAGTCCACCTTCCATTTTCTGAGCTCTAAATCGCCTATTGGCGTAGGTCGGACTTACTAAGGCACCATTTCAAGGCGCGATTGAACATAGCGAGTTGACAAGATTGGAATCTCCAAAGCTTGATAGGTCCTAGCTGTGGCTAAACCGAACCAGTTAGAATGCGTTGAGTGAGATAAACACATGGTTGTGTACACATTTTTTGCCTGTTGGGCCATCTGGCAGCTCGAGCTACGTGCTTTCCTTGACTCATGGATTTGATTGATGGATCTGGAAGCAGCATCAATGTGGCTATCTCATTCATGTAGGGAAAAAATTAATGCTGAGTAGGGACATCAATGGATGGGTGGTAATATTTGGGTGATTAAAAACAAAGACCGAAGATTTTCCAGAAATTATGTTCCTCCCCCTTGATATTTTCTGATTTTTACCACTACAACAACAACCAAACCTTATTTCACTATGTGAGGTCGGCTGTATGAATTTTAGAGCGCCACTGCACTTGGTTTTATGCCAAGTCTTCCCTTAGCTCCAAGTGGGAATATAATCAAAAGATATAATCAGTGTGGGAATATAATCAAAAGATATAATCATGGGTTTAGTTACTGTTTAGGGTTTAAAAAATGGAACTTTAACGAAAAGCACTCGGTACTGTTCACTTTAACGAAAAACCACATTTTTACACTAAAAAGTCAATTCTGGTACTATTCACTTTACCCTTTATTTATCCTTATCATTAAAACTCAAAGTTTTCAAGCCCTTCTCATTAGTTTTCCTTTTAAAAAAGCCCTCATTGACCATGAAACGCTGATAATTATCACCAATTTGAGTCTTGTCATTGCTTGCTAAAGTAACCTAAAAAGGAAATTCATTGAAGGAGAGCCAAAACCTGTTTCTATCAAGAGATTATCAATTGATCGATCGATGTTAAATGTGAAGTGGAAGAGGGGCCTATATGCGTGTCCCCGGTGTCACATTGTTGGTTTGGATTAACCACCAGCGAACTTGATTATGTTCTTCTATACTGTCGGGGATTCATTTTCATTGGTGAAGCAAAATCTATCATCTTTTGGGTTCCACTACCAGTTGCTGTGATTCTTGATGCTTCTGTACAGAAAGTGGCAGAGTCAGAACATAAGTACTACTCAAAGATTACCATTCATCACTCGTACGATTTGACGCAGCAAAGGCAACTAGTTCAGCTTCTCGGAAGAACTGTGGCAAACAAAGTTTGTATTGCATTATACCATGCTGCTAGCCCAACTAGGCTTGTCTGAGACTGTTTGTGGAAGGGCTAGCTAGGACTGGTTTCTGAAAACCTAAAAAGCTCATGACTATGTGTGGAAGAAAAATTTAAAAATACTTAAAAAACTATCACACTTTTAATAGCAATTTTGACGTGTTTCAAAACAAAACCATTTCTAGTAAAAACGCTTATTAGTTGAAGTGTTTTTTTATGGATTAAGTAACAAACGAGCCCTCATTTAATATCCCATCATGAGTCTTTCCACTAATGATAAAATCCGGTAAACATGTTGTCAAGGAGTGTCTAGTTCTAAATAGGTACCTAATGACCATCCTTTTCAGGTCATTTTCAATAAAGAGGGGTAAAAGTTCCAAAGTCGAAAATGATCTGATTTGCTAAAAAATCCATCCCCAATAGATGATTGGACTGTAGTTATATGGAGTCCACCATGACATTATTTGGCTAAATGGGCATTAGGTTGGCCAAGTGTAGCCCGAATAACTTGTATGGGGCTTGAATTGCCACTGGATCATATTGAGTGACATTACACCACCATTCAGTATTTACCACCTGGTACTATTCACTTTACCCTTTATTTTGTCCTTATCATTAAAACTCAAAGTTTTCAAGCCATTTTTATTAGTTTTCCTAAATAATAAAGGACTCTCCTTATTAAGTTTAATTAAAAATTAAATTACTACATAATTAATTAGGTAATTAATTTAAATCGAATAAAAAAAAAACTTCATTTGCTCAAGCACACCTCCTGACATCCGGACCTCCCACCCCCATCATGTAAATCAACTCATACCCAGAATGAAAAAATGAAACACTGACCGAACCCAGTCATCGGCAACCCCACTAGTAGCCACTACCACCCCCTCCCTGGTCATTTAAAGTTTTTTTTTTAATTCAATTTTAATTATAATTATGTAGTAATTTAATTTTTAATTAAACTTAATGAGGAGAGTCTTTTATTATTGTGTAAATTATAGCAATGGTCCTTTAATTTTAACTCAATTGAAGTAATGGTCTCTCAACTAAAAATTCATTATCATTAGTCCCTTAATTCATCAAAACGTGCAACTATGATCCATCAACTAAAAATCCATTACCATTGGTCCATCAACTTTAACCCAATTGGAGCAACGGTCTCTCAATTTTAATCCAATTGTAGTAATAGTTCTTCCAACATAACTCATTTTGGCAAAATTATGACGAAGTTGACGAAAATGATTGTAGCTACACGTTTTGATGGGTTGAGGGACCTCAATTGTCGCAATGGTCATTCCCACATAACTTATTTTGACAAAGTTCTAACGAAGTTGAAGAAAAAAGACCATAGCTACACATTTCTATGAGTTGAGGGACCATTGGTAATAGATTTTTAATTGAAGGACTATTACTACATTTTATTCTTTATTATTTTGGTTTAACACATGGCAAGTAATGAATGGTTGTGTAGTACCATTCAGCATGGTCTAGTGGCAATTCGAGTTCCACACAAGTTTTTCTCCCCTCTTAGCCCTTTCTTTGGGGGCTAGCTTCTCTGCTGCAATAATTGATTCAAATTCAACCATTAAATTTGAAACATACAACGGTAGTTTAATTAAATTATCGAATAAATTTAAGGTATAAATTTAAAACTAATAAATTATTGAGGGGCTATATTTTTAGTCCATTCTGTTGGAGATATTGTATAAATATAACTTGATACTAGACATTTAAAAATAATTTCTTACAAAACTATAATTCTAGATAAAGTTAATTTTAATCCTTTCAATTGAAAATGACCTAAAGTCTTGAATTACGGCTCCAATTAGAATAAAGGTGTACTATACACAGGAACCATATGCAACATTTGATGCCAGATAAGAAAAAAAGATGCTCTGCTAAAAGTACAACCATGATTAGGGTTTTGTGTTGTGTGTGCCAATTATGCACTTCACTTTGCTTGGTAATGCACACACACACTTGACCAGATGTTGACTTTGAGTTCAAGATTTTTCTCTCTTTTTACAGAAAGTGAGCGGAAGTTGTGGTGTACCATTAAAGAGTAAAAGGCCATTGAAGAGCAAAAGGCCTTTGAGACCGAGTTTTTGGCATCAGATTTGTAGGAGAAAAAGGAGATTCGTCTTTTGGTCGCCACAATCAACCTATGTAGACATATTGTTGAGACGGATTAGCAATTAAATCCAGTTCCGCGGAGGATCACTTGAATTGGAGAACAACTTCTATTTCTATATCATGAGAGTATGTCAAGCGGAGCATACTCACTGTGTCGTCTTGTATTGATGAGATACTACTAAATGAAGAAAGACTTAAATATGACGGTGTCCCGTTAGCACGAGTATCCCAAACTATCATTCTTCTTGAATTGTGAATATGGATAGACATAAACACATGACTTGTAATGTGAATAGACAAGAATACATATACAAACTGGACGGTTATACTCAAACGAGAAGCAATATTATGAGTAACTGAAACCGAGGTTGAATTGAACTCCAAGTAACTGGATTGACTTGGTTTGATTAAGAATAGTTGATCCAGTTCTCATTCCTTCTATAATCTTCAAATAAGAAAACATGTGACATTAGATCTTCAAATAATAAAAACATCACAAACTCAATAAAATCCCCCCCCCAAAAAAAAAAATAAATAAATAAATAAAGTTTCCAAGTTTCCGCTTCTCATCAGAGAGTCCACGTCGGATACACCACAAAGTCAGTGGAAAGCACACAGAGGAGCAAGCGAGAGAGCGAGAGTGTGAGAGAGAGACGAATGGAGACCGGCGGCGAAACGGCTCTTTCCTCAGGGCTCTACGGAGAGAGAGGGGCAGGAGGGAAGCTGAGGAAGCCGCCGTCTCGAAAGCCGAGTACGACGCCATATTCCCGTCCGCCTTCGAACGAAGCCGCGCGGGGACAGCGGCGGTGGCTGTCGGGTATTGTCGATCCGGCGTATCGGCTGATATCTGGAGGCGCCACTCGGCTCTTCCCCTCCTTCTTCTCCAAATCGAATTCCGTCAACGCCCTTCCCTCGCCCAATGACCAAAATCACGGTCAGCCCCAATTTTCTCTCCGTTAGGGTTTTGAACTTTGTTCTTTCTAATGTTCTTTTCATTTTTATTTTTAAATTATTTGAATTTGTGAGTTTATGGGTATTTTATTAAATTAAGTTTATTACTTTATACTTGGAATGATTAAGTTGGGTTTGTGTGCTTTGCTTAATTGATTGGATTGCTCCTTAATTCGATTATTGTTGGTTTCGTCGAAATTAATTGGATTGAGTAGTTACTTTGAGTTGTTTTTCAATACCCTTTTACTGATTAGCGTTGAACATTGTGGATTGTTCTTTGGATTTTAACTCAATGAGTTGCTCTGGAGCAGATGAGCAGCACACGGAGACGGAACAAAATGCTATTGGCGATCGTGAGGACAATGCCGATGTAAATGTGAGGCTTCAATCTTTTGAGATAAATTCAAAGTACCACATGGGGTTGTATTTTGTGGATATGTATCAACATCAGTTCCTGCTGTTTCTCAAGTCACATTGCGCTTTAGTTTCGGTCATTACTATAGCTGTTGTAATTTTTTTGGGTTGCGCATACGGACAGTGTTTTTGCTCTTCAAACCGTAAACTTATGTTGTAGCATGTTGTTCCATTCATGTTAATATACCTGATTCTTTCTTGCAAAATCTTATTTATGTGATTCATGCTTGGATGACATTAAGAATTATTCGGAATTCAGAGTCGTTAACTTTTCCTCTTTTCTTTTATGTGGTGATAGGTATATGAAGCATATTCTCATTGTTTTTTCTTCCTGTGGTGTATATCAAGAAGCATTAAGTTAGATTATCTTCTGATTGCTATAGAGATACCCAGTTTTTTGTGTGGTCTTCTCTACAACTACGGATAGGGATAGCTACGTCTTTAATTGTATATGATTTCATGCCAGTAAAATCATTTCTCATATTCAATTCTTCTTTGGTGTTTATCTTTGCAGAATGGGATCTCCAGAACAACTGAAATAGTAGGCCCTAGCAAAAAATCAGATAGATTAATAAGTTGTTCGGATTTTGAAGGGAATAAGAAGAGTGACCAGTCTGATGATATTGGACTTTCTGAAATTGAGCAGTTATTGAAGGGGAAAAAGTTTTCTAGGCAAGTTATGCATGTGCTGTATTTATTCCATTTATGATTATAGCTGTGCATAAAACATCGATTTGCTAATAGTTTGCCACTAAGATGCTAATGAGTCATAATGGTGGAGCTTAGTTTTGGTTTAGATGAGTGTTTCTTGTTAGCATGATTAAGGTAATTTGTTATAAAAAAAATGTAAATAAAGTAGTTCTTTCCTACATAGATTGTGTTAATGAAGATTTAAGAAACCTGTTTCTGATATCAAAACAGTTTCCACCGTTATATAGTGACCTAGAAATTCAAGTTTCTCTTCCATTAAAAATCAGGTTGCAATTTCATTCGCTGTGGACACTCATGCATGCAGTCATGGTCTTGAAATGCATTATCTTTCCAGTCTTTCTTTCCCTCTTGAAGCTCACTCCATCTTTCTCCAGGGATGAAGTCAATCACTTGATGGAAATTATACATTCGAGGGCTGTTGAACCTCCTACTGTGGATCACAAAAAGAAAAACCAAAGCTTTAGTACTGCTGAAAAAGCCAAGTGGCCTTTAATTACAAATGATATTCCAAAGTCATCTGAAGAAAAGCAGGAAGACTGGAATAAAGCTATTTGGCCAACCTCAACCCCTCTACCGCAGTCAGCTGTGAGTGTCACTGTCAACTTGCTTTGTTTATTCAATGTCATCAGGCAGAATCAATTTTCGTTACATATTTATGTGAAATTGTTAATTTGCACATTTGTCCTCCACAAGAAATGTTTCTTCATACTTACTCAGTCCACTTGATCTCTGTCATTTCAATTATCACTACCAATACTGGTGGATGAAATTTTAGGAGAGATTAAAAGATTATTCAATGGATAATTGTCCTTTTGAGTGGTCTTATGTAGTTTCTGTTGTTCAATGATTTGCCCAAACTGTTTTTATTCTGTTTAAGTCTGCATATCTGTGAATTTTTTTTAATTTCTAATGAAAAGAAAAAAACTAAGTGTCTAATAGAACTTACCAACATATTTTTGTAGGTAAGTATTAACTTCTTAAATAGCGGAATTGTGAAAACACCTTCCATGTACATTGATTTTTTTTTTTGGTTTCACTTGATATATATTCTTAGAGGAATTTATTATTTCTCTTAAAATTTGCAGATACGAGATCAGGTTGGTGCTTCACCTGTTGAAATTGCAAGAGCATTTATGGGAAGCAGAAATTCAGAAATTGATCTTTCGTCAAAGAATGCAATGTCAAAAGATGAAAGGGCCACACTGCATGGCGATGAGTTCTCTTCAAAACCATTTCTTCCAACACCTTCTTATAAGCCATCGGCATGCTGGCCTGGTTCTATGGTACAGGATCAGCGTGATTATTCAACCCCACAGACTGAAAGAGGCAGATTTGGCCTTCATAATCTTCCTCGAACTCCTTATTCTAGAACTATCTTTTCAAAATCCAAATCCAAAGTATGTCAAAGGTCTTGATACTTGTTTTGGTTTCAAACATTTTGATTTTGGTAGTCATGCTTCATGCTTCAGATGGTAATTTTTCTTTATTGCATGTTATCAGCTAACTCAATTACAAGGTGGTAATGACAGAACCCGAAGAACGTTATCTACTCCATTGAAACAATCGCAGACTCCTATATATGGGCAGGTAAATTTACATATCAGTGATCATTGCCAATGGTTAATTTACAAGTATTGTGGATTACTTTATCAGATTAGGAAATTGAGTTCAAGTTAGTTTTTGGAATCTCAGAACGTGTTTGTTAGTTGCCGGTGCACGTGTGCAAATATTAATCTTTCAATATCTATCATACATTTATAGCCAAGTGTATAATGTCTATTCATGCTTGTATAATTAAAAAAAGGGAACTTTAATGAAAAGCTCCCAGTACTGTTCACTCTAATGAAAAACCACATTTTAACACTAAAAAGTCAATCCTGGTACCATTCACCTTACCCTTTATTTTGTCCTTATCGTTAAAATTCAAAGTTTTCAAGCCCTTTCCATTAGTTTTCCTTTAAAAAAAAATGAATGCGTAATACATACTTAAATACATAATTTCCGAAAGGATGAATCACAGATTTTAGCATCACTATGCAGTTTTACATGATAATTGACATTATTATAATCATGTTCTTGGCTCTTGACTTAATTGTTTTTGTCTTTGTGTTTCAATGCATTGGTGAAGCCAAGGGGTGATACATTGGATGGTGGCTATGGATCAGCTGGACCGGTTCGTAGGCTGCGACCTAAATCTGCTTCACAAAGTCCTGCCACAGGGTCTCCGTATGTTCACTCCTCTCCATTTGGGCCTTCACGGGGGGAGAACTCCAGTGCTACCAAAGGCTTCTTGCCTGCCGCCAAGAATTTTGAACTTGGAGGATTAAGTGGCAACTCCCAAATCCAATCATCAGACAGGAAGTCTTCCAGCTTTGGTGTGCCAACTGTTCATCCACAGTCTAGCCTGATTGCTAGGACAATCTTGGAGCACATTGATAGAAACCCGCCCACTCCGAAAGATAAGTCAGAAGAGTTAAAGCTAGCCTTTGCATGGAAGAAAACCCCGTCTTCTGGTGTTTCTTCAGTCATCCAGAATGGGCATGATAGCTTACCAGTTGGAGGGTTCAATTCTCGTAAGCTTATAAATCAAGATTACCAGAAAAATTCTGCTCATGAGAATGCTGACAAGGGGAATTCTCTGTTTAAGATTCCACCTGTGGAGAACACTGTAAAAGCCACCACTGTTGCAAACAATATCCCCGCTGGTGATGGGAGGGATGGAAGATCCTTAAGCAAGAGTACAAATGAGGTGTTTATTTCTTACATTGCTTTTTGCTACTACACCCATTGTCTGAAACGCAATATTGCCTTATGGTGATAGAGAGATTCGATCACACTGAAATAGAGCTAACTTAACTAATTTGCAGGATTTTCTGAAGATTGCTCCAAATGTTGTTGGCTCTGGGGTGCTAAATCAGCAAAACAAGCCTGCATTTCAATCTTTAGAGGCTAAACGCGCGTTTCCTTCTATCTCTGTTGACAAGCCTGAATCAAAATGGGCCTTTTCTTCTGGTAGCAGCTCTGGCTTCACTTTCCCTGTCTCTACATCGTCTGCAGTGTTTTCTGAACTACCGACACCATCCTTTATGCCATCTTCCCTGGCAAGCAGTCAGCATCAGCCAAAAGAAGAAGGAGATGCTGTTCCTACTTACGATTTTGGATCCAAGAAGTCCGATCCCCTTGTATTTGCATTCCCTTCTACAAGTGCGGAAGTTCAGAACGATGCTTCAGATATCAAGTTCAGTTTTGGATCAGATAAGCCAAAGTTGTCTTTCGGTTCAATAGGCAAAGATGCCATCTGCTATTAACTAACAGGAAGACGTACTAGCATTTCTTTTCGAGTATAGGTTTAAGATTTTCGTACTTCAACCCTTGCCTCATTGTACACCTTGGAATTGAGTGAAAGCAGGACAACTAGTATAGCAAGTGTGCATTTCCCTTACTCAAATAGTCCAATCGTGAATGAATCGGTGGATTCTGGCCAGGTCTCCTTGGTTATTCATACCCCTACATGTTTACTACTTTGTATTAACATGAACATGTGATGTGAGAGGTAATTATATAGAGACATACGACCGGTTATGTGTCAGAATCTCTCTAGATTTCCTTAAACTCTCTCGAGCGCTTGTGCATCTGGTCGTTAAATTCAGCAATATGCTATACATTTGTGTGCTCTAGAGTTTTCGAACCAGCAGCAGTGTAAATTGTAATGTGCTTCAAGTGATCCTGCGCTTCGTCGCCCATCCATGTTTTTATAATTCTGAGTGCTGTTTCGCTCATTTTGAGGCCATGTGAGGTCCTCTTCAATACAAGTCTGCGAATTATTTTAACGGTAGATTAACTTATAAGTTTAAAGGTCTCTCTTATACTTAATCCAAATCCTAATCCACAAAATAAAAAAAATAAAAAATACTAAGAAAAAAAGAAGCAGCAGTGATCGAATGTGAAATCCCTTCGTGAGGCAGAGCTGCTTCTATAGGCAAAAGCTCTTCCGTTGCGAATCAAAATTCAAGCAGCTCTCATCCCAGCAGAGCTAAATCATATGAAGGCTTTCGTACTGTTCTTAGGATTTAAATTGGGTACCAAAACCCTAGAATTTTGCTGCCATGGCGCTCTGGTTCTTCAAACATGTGGGGAGTGAGTTTTTATTTTTTAATGAAACGTGTTTTCCAGGATTGTTTTATTGATCTTGTTTAACATCTTCTATTGAATGTAAGCAATATTTCTGTAAGCATGAGAAATATTTGGTTATCTCAAGGCATTGTTACTCATTTGGTTCTCAATCCTACAAATTTAGATGGAGAAGATGGAAGAACTATTTTTGAAGGCGTGAAACCCTGGTGGAACTGTGGAACACAATTACCTCTCTCCCGTTGGAATTGATTTCACTTTTTTTTTCTTAAACAATCGACATTAAGGGGAGGGGATGAGCTTAGCCTCACAATGGGTTAGCAATAATATGATTCAAATTCATTTTTGACAAGAATCGAACCTAAATATAAGTGAAGAAGAATACCACTAGACCGTATTACTAGGTAAATTTACTGTTAGATTAATATGAGAGCTCCTATTAAAGAGGACCTCACATGTTCTCAAAATGATGATCTTAGGTGAGCAGCACAGTTCTAATTTTATGATATGATTGCACAATCAACATGCATACATGGTAGTTGAATTGAAGCACTCATGACTCACAACTGTGTGTACATTACCTAAATATAAAGATAAATTATGCTAGCATCACTCGGCTCGTGAGTGACTATGGGTAGTTGGCACGTTCAGCACAATGTTTTAAAAATTCCCGCCTAGGCAATAGGTGGCCAGCCATTGCCACGATTAATCCACAAACATTAAAAAAATTAAGAAATGGCGCCCAGACTCGCTTAAGTACATGCCTAAAGCACAACTCTCACTTAGACATAAAACTGATAATTTCTATTTTGTATTTAATTTTTTCAAGACTTGTTAGATATTTGGATGAGCACTCATTATAATAAATTTAAACTAAATTTGTTATATATAAATTAATGTCTATTCACACTAAAAATATACATAACTGTATTGAGATATAAATTACAAAATAGAATGACATAGATTTTAAAATATTAGAATATACTAAAAACATGAGGAATAATCATATCTTCACCTAGACGCCTAGGCACTAGTCAGGAACCTACTCTTTCATCAACGACCCACATCCACTCTCGCACGTGTGGACAAGTCATGCTAGGGTTTCTGATAAACTTACGTGTCACAGTTTCTTACCACACACATTGGACTGTTGGGAGATGGAGAATTTGTTGTAATGCACTTCCAGACACAGAACTTGATGCCATAGGAATCACATCTTGCCTCCATTTGTTTGTATTGAAGAAACTTTAGTCGTCGTTAGACTTCTCTCCTCTCTCTAATCTTTTCAGCTTACTAGCTAGTCACTCACTCTATGGGGCCCACCTTCGTGGTCATCAAACTTCATTGAGGACACCCGCATTCCAAACGGGAGAGTGAGAGAAAGAGAGCGGAAGGGAAGGGGGGAAGTCAGAGGTGAAATGACATTGAATTGATATGACAGGCATGAAATTGACGTTTCAGATTCTAAATGTCAGAAATGGGGAAGGGAGTCAAAGCAGAGCCGCAGGACGCAGCAGCAGCCTCTCAGCCGTATTACTCTGCCACCTCCACCTCCACCTCCACCTCCATATTGTACTATATATATGGGTATATATACATATATATATATATATTTATATTTCCCTTTTCCTTTCTTTTCAAAAAAACAAGGAAAAAAGAAAACTTGCCAGCTTATGAGAAATCTACCATAACCCACTTCCAGATCCGCAGGACATCCGATGGTCCCCTCCTCAATATCTACCACCCCAACCCTAGCTACTTCACTGTTTACTTTACTCCCTTCACTCTTTGTCCATGCAATGCAAGGCCAACCATCTTAATTATCTCACCACATATATATATATATACATATATAATTCTTCTTCTTCTAAATTTTTTTCGATTGGACTGGTCAATAACGCTACAATATTATTTTTTACTTGTAGCTATGAGGTTTCAAGTTCGAGACTTAATTATAATTAGCCCAAATTGTGCCCCCTTAATGTAACTTGATCAAAACCTAGCTTCTTACCTCATTTATCAAACAAATCATTTTTCATTCATGCAAATCATGCAAATATAACTACAAAAAAAAGAGTTTTAACAAAACACTTTCGGTACTGTTCAATTTTAATGAAAAACCACATTTTTACCCTTCCTAAGTACTATTCACTACACATTTATTTGTCATTTTTCATTAAAACCAAAGTTTATTTTGGACTTTTCATTAGTTTTCCTTAAAAAATAACAAAAGAAGTTTTTTTTGAAAAAAGTCAAATTTGTAATTAGCTTGAACATACAAATGCCTACTTTCAAAGAAAGAAACTGAGTATTATCCTTGCTAAATAAGAACAAAGTTGGAAGCAATTCCCTGAAGCAATTAAATAAGAATTTTTTTTTAAAGTGCTTCCCGATGATCACTAACAATCTTTAGTGCTTTTGAAAGGGATCCCCAGGAGGTATCAATGAAAAATGGGGATGCCTCAGAGCAAAAATGGTGGTCCATGAATTCCTTTTCACAGAGGGTCATAATATTTATGAGTTGCAGTCCATGCGTGGACAGACAATGGCTTTTCTTAGATATTTGCTTCTTTTAATTTTGAAAGAAGAAAAAAAAGAAGGGAAAGAATACCTTTTTCTCTTTCCCCCAAGAGCACATTACATGCAAGCAATAATTCAACAGGAAATTAGGACAAATTATATAAAGTCATGGTAGCTTTAGCTAGTTGATATGCTTGCTGCATGGTTGGAATTTTACTTACAAACCAGTGTCTGCCACCAAGGGTATCATAGGGACACGTGTGCGTTTATATATATATATAAAGTGGCTTTTGCGGATGGTGACTATTACTTATATTAGGTCTAGCTGCAGGAGAAATTTTTTTATTGTGAAAATACGGATGGTACGTCACATGTTATTATATAAGTGATGATAAATTTATTTTTTTAAGTTGTTAATTTTTTAATATACGTATCCCACCTTTTGAAAGTGATACATTATGTACTATTCTGCATTCCGGTCATTGAAAAATCTCTCTAACTGCAGTGAAGATAAGCAGATTAATTTAAGGGCCACCTTAGTTCCCCCAATCTATTAAAATTTTAGACAATATTTTATTTTTTCAAATATTTTAATCGAAGTCCAAAATTTAAAGCACTTTGCTATGTTGCCTTTTTTCATTTCAATTTGTTCAATTATCACCTTTTAAGAAATTTATCTTGTGTATTTATGATTATGAAATTGCACTATACAAAACTTACTTAAAAATTAACAATAAAAAAGTATTATTTTTCACATAGTTCTAGCCAAAAAAAAAAAAATGTACCCACGTAATTTATTTATGAGAATACATTTGAATTTTGAAACATGAAAAATATACATATAATTGGTACGGTTACATTCTTTTTTGTACAAATAAAACTTTTGGAAAAATCACAAAACTTATGGGTACAAAAAACAATGGATACATGCCAAAATTAATTATGGGTACAAATAAAATTTAAAAAAATACGTGCACAAAAAAAAATTCAAAATATATGATTACAGATTAACATTAAAAAGAATATTGGCAATTTAAAAAAAAAAAAAAAACCAAAGTGTAACGTCTTTTAACTCTTAAAAGATATTTGGACAAAGTTAAATAAGGCTTTCAATATAAATTTAAAATATGTTGACGTGTTAATCTTATAGTATTCAAATAATGACGTAGATAAAAGGAAAAAAGGTTTGAACAAAAAATAAAAAATTAATAAGGTTTAAATCGATGAGATAGTAGAATGAAGGATGGGAACATATAACAAGTAGTTTATATGGATGAGTTTTTCTTTGAGTAAATAATTGATGAGGTATTTTCGTTTGTAAGCCACGCAAAAAATTGGGTAAAACCCTACTTTGATTGTAAGTTTAAGATATATACCATCATACCAAGAAGGAGGATTGTGTTAATGTTTTTATAAATTTTGGACATGTGGGATTCCTAAACTTTTTATTTTTATTTTTATCAAACGATATTATTTATACTAAAGGATTGGGAGAGTGGGCTAATCCTTACAATGAGCTTGCCATAATAATATGGATCAAATTTGCATTTTGCGAGAATCGAGCTTAAGACCTCTCATTTACAAGTAAAGAGAGAAGAGGAATACCTAGACCATAGTACTAAGTGGCGATCCCTAAACTTTTTAAAACTTATGAGAAATGCTGCTAGGCAGACTCTCTTAAAGTAGGACTCTCCACGGACTCTTTGTCACCTCACAAGCTAACGTCAATTCTCGTACCAACATTATAAAACATTGTGCTAAAAACATGAAGTGACAGAGAGTCTATGGAGAGTCTCACTTTTGAAAGTCACCTCAACATTTTTTTCTTTTTCAAGTAAGCGTGACCAATCGCACGTTTTATTTGTAGGTAAATGCATTTTCTAAGAGAAAGGAGCCATAGCAGACCTTGAAAAGGTTTAAAATTTAACCCTGAACTTTAGCCAATAAATGTGTAGGCTAAACCTACCCAACAAACATGCGCAAAGTTCTCCTATATGCCATGCACTATCTACAATTAAGCGTGTTAATATGATGATAAAGTTTTAATAAAAATAGCTGAAAATATGACTTTAGCCCTTGAAATTTAATTTTTTCCACATAAAATCCGACATAAGTTTTTTATTCAAATAAAACCCATTGACTAGATTCCACATCAGCAAATTCATTAATTATATTTGACTTTACACATTTAAAAAATTTCGATGCCCAAAACACCCCTATTTGAATGTTTGATTTACACAATTAATTCCATACAAATTGTAAGGGAGAATTAATGATTTCACAAAAAGTTAAATAATAAATTCATTGCCTAATATATAATAACAATAAAACATGCCTAATAAATGTAGTAATACATGCTTAGTTAAGTCAATAAAATTATATTTTACATATAAATGTAGGTAAATTATTTCACGTACATATATATAACAAAAAAAAAAGCTTGATATACAAAAACAATTCATGCAAAATAATTTACCTACATAATAAAGCAAACCCAATATATGCAAAGTACATGCAAAATAATTTACCTACATAAAAAATATTATTATTTTATTCAATACTAGTTTACCTATTTTTTGTACATATAATAATAAAATGTGCCCAATATATATGATGATACATACAAAATAAAATACCTACATAATGAAGAAATGTTATTTGATTCAAAATTAATTTACTTACAAAATAAAGCAATTTTATTTTATTCAAGATTAATTTACCTATTATTTGTACATATATATTATAATAATAAAATGTGCCAAATATATGTAATAATACATGAAAAATAAATTACCTACAAAATAAAAGAATGTTATTTGATTCAATATTAATTTACCTACAAAATATATGTTATTTGCTCATCATAAATTTAAATATAGGTAAATTAATTAGTTTAATATGTTTGATCATATATGTAGTACTGTGCATTTGTATATATATATATAAATATGTGAACGTATAGTAGTACTATATATATATATATATATATATATATATATATATAGTATGTGTGTATGTATGTATGTGTGTGTATATATATATATATAATATTGAGCTTATGGTAGTAATATATACATTTGAACGTATATATGTGTGTGTTAGGGGTAATAATATATGAGTAATAACATTTATTGATTTTATTTTGAATATTGTGGTACAAATTGTAAATATTTTGTAATAAAAGGTCAATTACTTATATACTTGGCAATCATTTTTAAATTTGGGTTTTATTTGGATGTTAATAACTAGGTGGGTTTTTGTCTAGGAAATAAGAGTTGCAAAGATCTATATATAAAGAATCCTAAAAATAGACTAAAAAAATATGATGATAAAGTTCTTTCCATGGGACTGATGTACTTCCTAAACATACAATATTATATTACGTGGTCTCAATTTTGCATAAATATACAAAGTATGCATGTTGGAAACTGTAAACTAAGTAATATTGATCAAGATAACAAATTAAATTAAGGAAAGTAGCGTATTGCTTAATTCTAAGTCACGTAGCAAAAGAAAATCCCTAATAAGGGGGAGTAGTGACAGGTACAAAGAAGAAGGATATTGAAATGTTCTAAAGAACAACACAGTAGATCAGTCCAGGCAATTCCTTTACACTAACAACAACTTTGATATCACCAGCGTCGTTGCCGGAAATTATCGTGGCCATCAGTTATTCAGTAGTGCAGCCCTTGACATAAGATGTTTCTCAGGGTCCTGCAACATATATATATATATTTATTTAAATATAAAAAAGATTAATTAGGCCAAGGAAGTAATTTAGAAACACATAAATTAGTAAAATTACTTACATATATTGTCCAGCTTAGCCTGACTGTTGGTCTCCAACATCAGCCCAAAATGAATACGAGGGAAGTGCGCCCACTAATTTAAAAAAAAAAAAAAAAACAAGTTCATCAATATTGCTTACAAAATCTCACCAATAACTGGTGTTTTTACAACGCAGCTGTTTGCAAATGCATGTCCACTTACATTTTTGGCAGCAGTGCTGAAAGCCTCTCTATGGCTAATATCTGGATTATTAGCCTTGATCCTCTGAATCTCCTCCCTATCAACGTAATTAATCTCATCTTGTGTAATTAATTATAAGTGAAGCAAATTAAAAGAAAATAAAATTGAAATATAATGGTTTAGTTACTTTATGAACTGGTTATATGCAGAAGGTACACGTTGCCTCTTCTCGGGAGCTGAAAAGGAAAACAACAACTCACTCCATTTTTATCAATATGTATAATAGCAACAGTCCACATATACTATAGACTACACAGAGGCACGCAAACACATGGACACATTAGCAGTAAAAGGGGGGCATATATATATATATGCTTGATTATCTTTTATTTTTACAAATTATGGAATGACTAATTGATAACTCACGTCGGTTCACACCCCTTTCTTCCGTGGCAGGATATAAAGTTGGGTCTCCGGTTGCATTCTTCTTGTTGCATTTGGAAGAGGAGCCCGAATCAATCCGGTAGTTTTGAGAGTTACAGTTGTAGTTTTGTGCCTAAAAGTAATTAAATGCATAACACAAAATCAAGAAGATCAATCTTTTTATAAGAACGGTATTCATTAGTTAAACATCACCAACCATGAAATTAAATAAATGAAACCAGTTCTTTTAGGGTCATTTTGATTCCGGTCCCTAATCAACCTAATTGTTAGACTGAAACCTTATTTATTTAAATATTTTGATCGAGATCCTTAGCCTCATTTAAGAGATTTAACTCATGCATTTATGCATTTAATGTCCCACAAATTATGAAATTTAAACAAATCAAATCATATTTTTAAAATATAATAAATACTTTAAAAATCAATTTTAGAGTAATATTGTTGTTCACAGAAATTATAGAAAAAAAATATTGTACCCACATAATTATTAACACATTTTAAAAATAACTATTGATATATTTTAAAACATAAAATAATACATATAATTAGCATGGGTACATTTAGCAAAATTAAAATGGGTACAAATAAATTAAAAAAAAGTTTAAAAAATAAGGGCATAAAAAATAATAAATATATGGGTACAAATTAAAACTGAAAAGAAAATTGGTACAAAATAAAAAAATGGTTGCAAATTAAAAATGGGTACAAACTAAAAATAAAAATATATGATAAAAAATTTAATCATAATATAAATATACCAAATGTAAGGTTTCTAACACGAATATATTTAGAAATAAAAAAAAAATTTATTATTGAAAAATTAATGATGTTTATTAAAATTTAAGTACCTTGATCAAAAATTAAAAATGAATAAGATTTTAAATAATGAAGTAGAAAAAATTGGAATGAAAACCTAATATTTTGTAATGAATAGAGAGCTTGTCAAGTAATTAATTATTTAATTTTTACCTTATACATATATGGCTAGTTAGCTACCCTACCAGGTGGCCGGGCTCGGTTTTTTTGAAAAAGAGAGGGGGGGGGGGGGCGGCGGGAAGAGCAGCTTGATAGGTTTGAATCAGTTAAGACTGTCATATAAAATAAAGCATATAAAACCTAGATTGACAGTTGGTTGGGGGGGGGGGGGGCGGGGGGCGGGCGGCGGGAGCACGAAAAGAAGAGCAGCTTGATAGGTTTGAATCAGTTAAGACTGTCATATAAAATAAAGCATATAAAACCCAGATTGACAGTTGGTTGGAAAATAAATCAAACTGTGTAAGGTTTGTGTTTGCTCAGTAGAGGACAAAGTTGATAGAAAAGAAATCATTGAACCTAAGAACCCTATCATTCAATCGTTCAATCAAATCAAGCAAAAGAAAAAGAGACTATAAACGTTGATTAATTGACAAAAAAGAAAATGCGTTAGATGGTTAAGAAAGAAGAGATTGCTTGGTGTAACAGACAACCGTAAAATTGTATTTATTATTTTATTAAAATTATAACACATTTTATTGTCTTATATTAAAATTAATAAAAATATATTAATCATGTTGCTCATAACAGATAATTTTTTGGTGCAATCGGATACACAAGCAACAATTGTTCGTCAGGAGGGCACAGGCCCTGACCTGCATCTTAAAAAAGCAAAAATTTAGGTATTGGATTGTGGGTTATGGCGGCTGCTGTCTGAGCAACCGACTTAAGGTTTCTGCACTACTGCAAAATGCTTTGAAATACTCGATCGATTTATGTTAGATCCTCGAGTCTTCGATTTCCTAAAAAAAGAAGTAATACCCAGAAGAAGCTAGCCCTAGATTTCAGAGAGGGATTCTAATATTAACTCCTTTAATTGAATGAATAATTAATTATTTTCTTAGAATTAGTTAATAACAAATAATTAAATAGGGGAAAAAGCACACCTGAACATCTTGCCAGGACAGTGACTGAAAGGCTGCGGCCATGTTCACGGACCATAAATTGGTGCAGCGCCCGCATCGGACGGTCACAATGTCAAATAGGCTGCTGCATGGAACGCTCACCTGACAAAATCATCACCACTACATGAGCGGGCCTATATTAATATATGTATCTTCTTACATGTTTCTCAGCTCGTTAATTGCACCCAAAAATTATCATACACTGATTTAAAAGCTGCACATCAGGACTGCAAGAGTAATTAAACAAATAGATCGAATTTTACCCAAAAAAAAAAAAAAAATAGATCAAATTAAATGCAAAAATGCATTTCTCAGAAATTAATAGAAGAAAGAAGAAATTAAGAATTGGGTACTGCTAGATCTTAAATGGATTATTTATTTGGGGTAAATTTATGTATGTTTCTTCTCTCAAAGAAAGGTGTAAAGTTGATTATAAATTTATAAGCATAAAACCCTAATTTCTTTCCCTAAAAAAAACACATAAGGCGAGATTCGAAACCCTATGTATTCCTTTTCAGATTGCTGTGAGGGGAGTTTTCATAGGAAAGAACACCACAGAGAGTGCGAGAAGAAGGCTTCATTTTCTGTCTTCCCCATCAGGCTATCAGAAATAAAGGAAGGTGATGAGTTTGGACGAGACGATGTAGTGTTTTTAGTAACAAAAAAGGTCAGAGGGTGAAGAAATCAAAGGGAGGACTTGTCCTTGTCAGTGGATTATCCTCAAACCCTCTTGTATTTTATGTTAAAAAGAAGCACCATTAACTTACAGCAACAAAACATAAATTAACCAATCAACTCTCTCTCTCTCTCTGGTCTTAAGCGTTTCAGGAGGACCTTCAGGTATGACTTTTCTTTGACTGCAAAAGAAGAAGAAAAAGTAAAGTCCAACGATGGAGACCTGACTGTATATACCTAGCTCGCTGATTAAAACAAAACAAAAGAAACCCTCTTTGTTAAACTATCAAATTGCGTACCATTTGATTTCACCACTGAAAAAACACCAAACTCTGACAAAAAATTAATTAAAACCTGATTTTAATTTCTCAGGATCGGATTTGTTTTTGCTTCTTGTATATATGCTAGAAAGATATATATGGAAGAAATAAGATAGGTAAAGTGGGTTTTGAGAAGATCACTGAAAAGCAGATCTTCCATTAAAGAAAGAAGAAAGAGGAAAATATCAGAGAGATATATGGATAGATAGATAGAGATCGATACCGCGAGTACAATACTGCAAAAGTTGCAAGGGATGTAACAGAGTTGCTCAGTCGCAACATCGACGCAGCTCGTCATGTCGCTTAGTATCAGCTGGATGCAATTATCACTGAATTAAGAAATCCTCCTTCTTTTGAACAAACCAAGCTCAGCAGCTTTTGCAAATTGCACTTTCTTCTCTCTCAACCATTCCTTGCTGTGTAGATAGGTTATGTAATAATCCAATAATACACCATATATAGAGCTAGAAGTTGTGAGAGAGAGAGAGAGAGAGAGAGAGAGAGAGGGGGGGGGGGAGGGGGTAAGGTAAGTGGTAAGGGTGAGGGGTAAAGAAGTATAATGATTAAAAAAAAGTGGGCTTGGAAGTGGCGAGGGCAGACAAGAAATGCTGGGACCGGGAAGGGAAAGAAAAAGCGGGTTTTATGGAAAACGGGGTTTTGATTTAGAGTAATGTTATGAGACTAAATTTGTAGATTAAAGTTACAAATTAAATAATATGTCACAAATAGTAATGAGTATGTTTATCAACGTTTAAGTGATAAACTAATTATCAACTTCCATGTCTATTTGTTTTTAAAACTTTGTCTACAAATTTAGTCTCTTTAACATTACTCTTTGATTTATTGGACAACAAATGCGGTTCACGTACTACCATAGGATACCAGCTATATTTGAGTTGGGACTTGACAGAGTTATAAGAGAAGAGAACTTTTGGCTGCATTACCTAATCTGTTTATGATGCATGGTAACTATTTCTGATCCAATATTGAGTGTGAGTGTGAACACTACTTCTTCCTATAAAAGACATCTAAAATAGATTTACCACTTATCATAACGACTTTATTCAATAAACTAATGATATGTGTTCAGAAATTTACACATATCATTAATTTATTGAAGGAGATTTAATGTGCAATAACAAGTTAAATATAAGTTGGTCTCCATTTTCCCCCTCCTACTAAGTAGAAATTCTAAATGGATTCTAATTGCAATAGCAAAGATTGTAATTAGCTAATCATTATTTTTTAGACTAGTCACATTTTACACTTTCAGGTTTTAGTTGATTTACAAAATTGATCATATATTCCAATTTTCTCAATATTACGCCATATTTTTTTTTATGCTTTCAGATTATTTGACCTTCAGGTTCTTCATTAAATTGATGCGTTGTGAATTTGAGACCCATTTATGGGCTAACGTTGAAGCTACATTTGCACTATATGAATAAAAATAACTCATCATGGAGCTTCAATTTCTTTTAAATCAATGTTGTGTATCCAAAAAGGACAAATAATCACACATTTTGCTCCAAAAAGAGTAAGTGTCACTACCAGAAATTACCATTTTCCCTACAAATCATATTTCATTGGATAAAGTAACTTTCGACATATTAAAAAAGTTCGTGGGTAAAAGTGGTCAACATTCCAAACTCAATCAATATCAACAACATGTCGTGACCGGTTAGGCTTGGTTGATTTTGTTAGAAAAGAAAGTAGGTTTTGGGGTTCGTTGATTTGTATACCTTCGGTGCTAATAAGGTCGGGACCGTGGTCGTCCGTCTCTGGTTTGCCGGACGAGAAGATTTATGAGATTGACCAGCCCACTGGGTTGGTTTTTAATCGGGCAAAGGTATATTTCACGATTTAGGGATTAGGGTTTAACGTTCATTAGGCAAAACTAAATTTTCTATCAGGCAAAGGTGAGGGACATTTTGGTATATCCAATTCCTTCGATGTTTTTCACAATCTGCAAAATTAATTTCAACAATCCAATCGTCAATGTAGTTGGTATATACTTCGAGATGGCATATGCCAAAACTCATCTAAATGCAAGTTTCGATAATTAGGTAGCGAGACGAATTCCTTCGACGGCTAGAAACATATTCTCACGGTTTAACAATTATTTTAGCTCTGATTTTGATGAGTTTTTGCAAGGATACTCATCAACCCTAGAAGAATACAATGAATAGACCCGATCATCAAGTTAATATATTTAGACTAGCAGTTACCACAAAATCTTACGTTCTACTTAACAGAAGTATATAATAAACTCTAAGATCCAATTGTCAAACTTGTTGGTATATACTCTGAGCATACACCAAATTCTCCAAAAACAAACTTTTGAGGATTAGGTAACAAGACGAAATTCTTTGATGGTTAGAACATATCATCACGATTTAACAATTATTTTCGCTATAATTTTGATTATTTTTTGCAAGGATGCTCATCAACCCTAGATGGATACATTAAACGAACCCGATCATCAATTTAAAATGTTTACATTAGCAGTCACCATAAAATCTTATGTTCTACTTAACAGAAGTATAGAATAAACTTTAAATGTTTGTTGAACACGTTGTTTTGACTGGATACACAATTTACAGAACTAATTTGAACAACCCAACCGTCAAACTTGTGTGTATGTACTCCAAGATCGCATACACAAAAAATCACCATAAAAAACTTTCTGAGATTAGGTAACGTGATGAAACCCTTCGATGGTAAGAAACGTATCGTCATGATTTAACAGTTATTTTCACATCTAATTTTGATGATTTCTTACCAGGACGCTAATTGAGGGTAAAACCACACACTAATATGACCTAGTCATCAAATTCGATGATCTTTTAACAGTTTGAAAATATATTTAAAAACCAAGAAAAATTGAATTTTTGATGTTTGCCGGACGAAATTGGTATATTTCGTCAGGCAAACTTTCAAAACTTCCCCCACTTTTCTTAAAAAATTAAATTTCCCCCTAGATTAAAATGTTTGCCGACAAAATTTGTAAGATTTGGAGGGCAAACACGTATTCCCACCATTTTGGCGACACAAATTTGACAACATGGTTCTATACAACTTTTGCCCAATCAATTTTTTAGGTCAGACTAAACGTGACACACTTATAAGACCTTTGCTCGACAAACTAGTTTTTGGACAAAGATCTGATATTATATAACACCGAGAGCGTTCTTCGCCGTTCTTCCCTTCTTCTTTGCGCCGCTTCACTCTCTAGCTCTCTGTTCTCTCTATTTGCTCTCGCTCTCTCTGTGCTCTTTCTTTTTTCTCTCTCCGTGCTCTCTCTCACCGTGGGCTTTCTCTCTTTTCTTAGAAATTGTAATATACTTCATTATTATTTGTTTACAAGAGGGAAGTCCTCTCTTATAGAAGGCTAAAAACTACACAATTAGTTCTAACAAGTGGACAAGCCAAATGATGATTACATGAGGAAAACATCGAAGAGGAAAATAAGGAGAAAAAGAAAGCAAATCAAAGTAATGATGACTAACTATAAAGTAAAGTAATGATGGTTAGCTATAAAGTAAAGTAATGATGGCTAGTTAGAGGAATAATTACAAGTCTATTGTCTATTCCAATAATGTTTAGCAGCTATTGTTGACACTCCCCCTCAAATTGGTACATAGATGTCATGAATGCCCAACTTGCTTAGTGAGTTGTGAAATACTGAACTTGTGACTGTTTTGGTGAGCATGTTTGCTAATTGATCTTCAGATTTAACAAATGGAACTTCAATAAGTATTGCCTCAATTTTTTCTTTAATAAAATGTCTATCCACCTCCACATGTTTGGTTCGATCATGTTGAACCGGATTGTGAGCAATGTCAATTGCAGCCTTGTTGTCACAATGTAGAGGTATAGCATGCTTGGGCCTAAATCCCAAATCTCTCAGTAAATTCTTCACCCAAAGTAGTTCACATACTCCATGTGCCATGCTCCAATATTCTGCTTTAGCACTTGATCTAGCAACAACCTTTTGTTTCTTATTACGCCAAGAGACTAGTTTTCCTCCAACACTAACAAAGTATCTTGATGTTGATCGTCTGTTAGTTACATCACCAACCCAATCAGCATCAGTGTAGCCTTTAACGTCTAGATGATCATGTTTTGAAAACATTAATCTTTTCCTATGAGCTGACTTTAAATACCTCAAGATACGGTTTACAACATCCATGTGTGTTTCACTTGGTGCATGCATAAACTGGCTTACCATGCTGACTGCATATGCTATATCTCATCTAGTATGTGCAAGATATATTAGCTTACCAACAATTCGTTGATATCTCTCTTTGTTGGTAGGTATCTGATCAGGATATTCACCAAGTTTGTGATTCAGCTCAATTGGGGTATCTGTTGGTTTGCATGCTAGCATCCCAGTTTCCATCAAAATATCAAGAACATATTTCCGTTGTGATAGAAATATTCCTTGTTGTGAGCGGGCCACCTCAATGCCCAAGAAATACGTTAAAGCACCGAGATCTTTCATCTCAAATTCACTTGCTAGATACTTTTGCAGTGCTGCCTTCTCTTCTGGATCATTTCCTGTAACCACCATGTCATCCACATATACAATAAGAGCAGTGATTTTACCTTTTTTATGCTTTAAGAAAAGAGTATGATCTGAGTTGCTTTGCTTGTATCTGAAAAATTTCATCGATTTGGTAAATCTCCCAAACCAAGCTCTCGGTGATTGCTTTAAACCATACAATGACTTTTTTAGTTTACAAACGTTGTTGGTTTGATTGGGATCCAGCTTGCATCATGGGGGAAGCTTTATATAAACTTCTTCTTCTAAATCTTCATGTAGGAAAGCATTTTTGACATCGAATTGATGCAAAGGCCAGTCAAGGTTTGCTGCTAGGGATAAGAGTACACGAATAATGCTTATCTTAGCTATAGGGGCAAAAGTCTCTTCGTAGTCAATGCCATATGTTTGCGTGTAGCCTTTTGCCACTAATCTTGCTTTGTATCGCTCAATAGTGCCATCTACATTGAATTTTACTGTGTATATCCACCTGCAACCAACTGATTTCTTCCCCTTAGGTAGGTTAGTTAACTCCCAAGTGGAATTTTTCTGGATTGGCTCCATTTCTTCATTCATTGCACGAGTCCACCTAGGATCTTTCATAGCATCCTCTACACTACAAGGAATAGATACAGTGGATAATTGATTTACAAATGCCTTACATGATGTAGATAGCCTATGGAGGGACACATGGTTAGCAATTGGGTATTTAACCTTGGCTCTAAGATCAGGATCATATAACTGTTTAGGAATCCCTCGAGATTTTCGAGGGAGAAGTTGATAATTAGTGGACTCCATTTGACTTGACTCAGGTACGATCTCAATAGAATTAGATTGATCAGTTACCTGTTGATTGTGTTCAGGGGCTGATTGATCATGTGGTACTGTCGAAGAAGGTAATCCCAAGCCATCTGGATTTAACGTTGCTGGATGTACCTTTGTGTCTGATGTTGGAGTC